TAGTCTGGTATTGATTTTTGTGGAGTCAAGTATTCATCTAAAACATTTTGGTTTAACTTTGCAGCCGTTTATTTCATTGTTGTCCATTTCTACTGAATTTGCACCTACTTAAAAGTGCCAAACAGCTAATGCCTCTGTTTGTGCTTGGGCTGATGCTGCAGATGTATCAGAGTTCAGTTCTGGTTGATACTTTCAGACCAGAGATTTGTGACAAAGAAACAAAGGATAAACTGGACACCGAAGCAATTTTCTAAAAAGCTTCAGAGCTCCCTGCTTGTTTCTGTTAAAGAGAACTGTAATTGTGAAGTATTGTCGAACGAGATATCTGTCACCGTAATACCAGCTTATTATTTTCAAATGGTTATTGTGACCTTCAGCTTGTCCGATGCTCTGCGAGAAGAGGGATTTTGTCGCTGCCTGGGGTCACTGATGTCTATCGATCGGAATCCCTCAAGGCTTTCATCTGGCCATGACAAGATGACTGTCATAACCCCCAGCTTGATTCTATTGCGATGTTGGTAAAGTGTAAAATCTCTTTAACTAGCAAATCCTTCTTGACACAACCTTTAGGACATGTATACAGTCTTCTTTTTAACAGAGCACTGTGTTTGGTTTGGTGTTAAGTAGCTTTTGCAAGTGACATTCCTGAGAGGTTATGTCAAAGGCAGCCAAAAAGAGGGGATACAACTTTCTTTGAGACATCAGTCAATCTCTTTCTAAATCTAAATATAGAGATTCTTCAGAAGATTAGAGCTATTTATGATTAAGGTGTCTCAAATATACACACATTTAGCAATCTATAGTTGGTCGAACAGACCAAAAATATGTGCTGGGCGGCTTTAGTATGTTTAATGAAAGCCATTATTGGAAGATGACTCCCTTATAAGAGGCTCCCTCAGGAACCAGAACTGGCATCCAAGGAAAGATGTCAGATATGGACGACAGAAAAGCTAATTGGAGAGAAATTGCTATGAATATTGCATGATGTCCCGTGAGAACATCCACTGGTGGATCGGGGGATAGGAAGGTCTTAATAGAACTGTCACGGTTTTTCTCACAGTTCACGGTTAGCCTAAAGTCTGACCACTGTCATTACTAAGACATGTTTTAAGTAAAGGTATGCTTAACACTGGGTCAGTTCCTGACAGGGTTGTAATACATGTTTAGGACTGAAGAATATATTAGCCTTTTTTACATAATGTATTATCTTGATATCTTTGTAATATCACTTTAATATTACAAAATGTCCAAATTTGTCACAACAAAAACTATAGTTGGTTCCACAGGCTGCATTGAATGTGCACTAGCGTGCAATGAATGCTGCCATGCAAAGGGTACAACAAATAGATTCTTCAAACCTAGATTATACTAAGATCCATTTTGGAATGTGGGCCTGGTGCAGGTTGGTATGTTTGGTTAAGACCTAGAGGTTGGGGGTAGGTGGGTTGGGATAAAATTGCAAACAACCCACCTATAATCACATGCAACAATCCAAGAAATCCTCTTCCCCTGCAATTACATGCAACTCCCCCAAATAGGCAAAATCACATTTGACTCCCACAATCACAAATACTCGAACAAATTGTAAACAACCATCCAACAAATCTATAGAAACCCCCTCAATCAGATGCAACCCTCCCCCCCAACAGCCTCTCCTCACAATTGAATACAACTCTCCTACAATCCCATACACCCTTACCTTATACTTGCAAACACCTTGCCCACAATCACATTCAACTCAAGGAATCCCAAACAACTTTCTCCACAATCCCATACATTCATTTACAACTGTAGATTCACATACTCCCATACTACTATCTTAATCAATAGCATACACAAAACATTCATGATGTCACAATGACAAACAAGTCTGCCCAAACCCCCAACAATTACATTTGCATACATACATTACAATTGCAAACAACTATTCAACAATCACCTATGATCCCACATCCCAAAAACACCCCCACACAATTGCAAACTACCTCCTGACCAAAACACAGAGCAGCACCACACAATTCCACACCCCTTTACAATCATAGACAACTGTCCCAGAGTCCAATAATACTCAACACAATCAAATACACCTCTCCCGAATTTGTGTTCAACCCAACTCCCCAACATTCACATTTGACCCACAAAATGGTCACTTCCATCCTTGCCAACAATTGTATACAACCCTAACAATTTTACATGACCCCTTACAGTCATGAACACTCCTCCTACAACCACATACAACATGCCTAAATGCAAACACCCCCACAATCACAAAGAACCTAACAACAATTGCATTTGACCCCCTGACAATCACAAATAACCCCTCTTCACAATCACATAGAACTCTCCCACAATCCCATACACCCTTACCCTGCAAACATCTTCCCCACAATCACATGCAACTCAAGCAATCACAAACAACTTTCACCACAATCACATACAACTCCCCCACAAATGTATGCAGCCACAAACCAACAACAATTACATATGACCCCCCCCCCAAAAAAAATGTCTACCAACACACTACAATTACAAACAATCATAAACAACCTCCCAAAATCCAAAGCACTTCCAGACAGTCGCATAATAGCATTCAAGTCCCCCACAATTCCCCCTTACAAATACAGACAACTGCCCCACAATCCAAAAATACTTACCATATTCACATGCATCTTACCCACAATTGACTAAGGGTGCTTTCACACCTGCCTTATTTAGTTTGATTGAATCGCACTAGAGTTCGTTTCCCCTTTTGGTACGGTTCGTTTGGGCAGGTAAGAATGCAGCAATCGTACTCGAGTGCGCACCAAAAGCGGACCAAATAAGCGTACCGAGACATGCTTGAAGAGTTGGTCTCGGTACGCTTTCAAACGAACCCTGGAGCGGTTCGTTTGTGGTGAGAATATGATTCGTACTTAAACAGGTCCAACTGCAAAAAGTACTGCGCGTTTTGGACTAATTCAGTTGCCGTAGGCTGATGCGCTGTGCATTATGGGATATGGAGGAAAAATATTTGTTGACAGCACTTTACCAACAGAGAGAGCGAGAGGGGAAAACATTACCTGATGGATCGTTGGTAGATGAACATGTTGCAGTTTAGCTAAATTAATTCACGGCTCCTCCTGAAGTGACGAGTGATGCATTAAACACTGTTTTCCAGCTGCGGCCGCGCTTCATTTTCGTAATGTATAGTTTGTCTAAAGCAGGGATACAATCAGCCAGCGCAGTCGTCCCTCCAGACTTAAAGGTTTTGTTTACCTGCGGGAGTTCACTGGCATTTTCCCGCACGTGAATTCTGACCAATCAATAAGCAGTTTAGGAAATATGTTCAACAACATCTGGCCAATGAGAGATGTGGATTTTGTCAGATGACTGCATTTTTGGTTCGTTTTAACTGGTTCGGACCAAAGCCAGCAGTGTGGTCTGAAAACGACCCAAAGACGGTAGAAGATGCAACAATGTATCATTTATTGCACTTGGTCCAGACCAAATGAAGCGAACTACAGATGTGAAAGCACCCTAACCCTCACCAACAATTTCACATAACCTCTTACAATCATAAACAACCCTCTACAAGCACCACCACCCCACCCCCCATCCCACAATGGCATACAACTTCTTTACAATCCCATACACACCCTTACATTTGTAGACTCCTTAAATCACATCCTATCAAATGGATACCCAAAACATTTACCAAAATCACAAACAAGTCCTTCACAACTGCAAGCAAATCCAACCCCCAACAATGACATTTAACCCCCATAATTGCAAACAACCACCCCTAAATCACATGCTACCCCAACCCCCAACAATTGCAAGCCACAAACTATTGCTAATCACCCTTGAAAATCATAAACTCTCCAAAATTCCACACAACTACTACACAATAAACAAGCCCCAATAGTTGAATACAAGTCCCTCACCCAACCTCAGGTAACCTTAATCTACCAAACAAACAAAATATATCATTGAAATCCCACATAGCAAAATTTCTCTGGCCCTGCTCTGGCCCACACAATCAGGTTTTGCTTGGCCCACATGCCGCAGTGAATTACGGTAAATGACTGGACCAAATATGGCTTCCAGACAGGCCAAACACAGACCATATCTGGGCCAAGTCTCAGCCAAGTTAATAACTCATAACTGGGCCTGAACTGGGCCAGATAGGTTGGTGTGTCACGATTGCAATGAAATTGATAAACCCATGGAGTGATGCGCTTTAGGCACACTATGGGCACGCTTTTTCTCAAAGTGACCTGATTGGTAGAATTTGTTTTCTTTACTCAAAAATGATTTTAGTGTATTTTAAATGTGGGTCAAGACTGGCCAAACTCACATGGCCCACTTATCAAATTTTTTAATCTGGGCCAAATACTACGCTTTTCATCTGGCCCAAATCTTGTGTGCCGCCTTAAAAACTGTGCCACCTCTGCCAAACCCGGGCCATGTTTGGCCCACATGCTGTATGCCAGTGCCGGTTGAATGCCTGCTGTGCCAGCTTTATGCCAAATCTGGGCCAGAATTCTTTGCTACTAGGGATGCCTTTTCAAAGGTTTGCATTTTCAGGTCCGCCAAAATGCATTGTGTAAATGAACAGGAGAAAGGGATTGAAAGGCACAATACTTTATAATGGCTTTACCCAAACACCGTCTATGAGCAATAGCTTAGAAAAACTACTTAAACCTCAGAAAACATTTGAAGATAGCAAAAAATCTGACAGCGTTAGAGACCAAACTAAGATAAGCACCTACAATTTCAGGCATTACTCTTCAAGATAGCAGCCAAAAGAGTCGTCAAATGAAAAATTGTCCCTAAAGTGTGCGATAACTTGTTTTGTTGTTTTGTCTCTTTCGTGTTTTACCTCCCATTTCTCTTCAAAGGTCCCTAGAGTTGACTCTATTTCTTTGTGCTTACACTTAGAACATTTAGGCATGCTCCTTGCTGCAGATGTTTGAAGGCTTCACTTTTGACTTTTTTGTTGTTGTGTTTTCTTTCTTCCAGGGCAAGAGCGAATAGGGATAGACTCCAAATACGAGCAGGAAGGGAAGGTGCAGTTTGTGATCGACGCGGTGTATGCCATGGCTCATGCTCTGCACAAGATGCAGAAGGAGTTTTGTCCGGACCAGTCAGGAATTTGTGAGGAGATGGAGCACGCCGGTGGAAAGAAACTCCTGAAGAGCATCCGGTCGGTCAGCTTCAACGGTGAGTCCACAAACGCTTATGATATAAGTTTGGTACCGTATTAGGTTACCCTGTTTACATCCACTTTTTTTGTAATGGAAACATGTTTATTTGACATAAGCCTTGATTTAATTGAACAACATGCTAAATGAAGTATACAATCACTGGCCACTTTATTGTGGCTTGCTCGTTATTGCAAATTTCTAATCATCTAATCACATGGCAGCATCTCAACGCATTTAGGCATGTAGACATGGTCAAGATGATCTGCTGCAGCTCAAAGCAAGCATCAGAATGGAAAAGAAAGGGGATTTACGTGACTTTGAATGTGGCATGGTTGTTGGTGCCAGATGGGCTGGTCTGAGTATTCTAGAAACTGCTGATCTTCTGGGATTTTCATGCACAACCATCTCTAGAGTCTACAGAGAATGCTCCGAAAAAGAGAAAACATCAAGTGAGCAGCAGTTCTGTGGGCACAAATTTCTTGTTGATGCCAGAAGTCAGATAAGAATGGCCAGACTGGTTCCAGCTAATAGAAAGGCAACAGTAACTCAAATAACCTTGAGGCGGATGGGCTACAGCAGCAGAAGATCACACCGGGTGCCACTCCTGTCAGCTAAGAACAAGAAACTGAGGCTACAATTCACACAGGCTCAGCAAAACTGGACAATAGAAGATTGGAGAAATGTTGCCTGGTCTGATGAGTCTCAATTTCTGCTGCCACATTTGGACGGTGGGGTCAGAATTTGGCATCAACAACATGAAAGCATGGATCCATCCTGACTTGTATCAACGGTTCAGGCTTCTGCTGGTGGTGGTGGTGTCATGGTGTGGGGGATATTTTCTTGGCACAATTTGGACTCATTAAACTCATCGTGTTAACACCACAACCTACCAGAGTATTGTTGCTGACCATGTACATCCCTTTATGACCACAGTGTACCCATCTTCTGATGGCTACTTCCAGCAGGAGAATGCACCATTTCATAAAGTGTGAATCATCTCAGACTGGTTTCTTGTACATGACATGAAATGGCCTCCACACTCCCCAGATTTCAATCCAATAGAGCGCATTTGAGTTAAGGTGAAACGGGACATGCTATCATGTCAATATGGAGCAAAATCTCTAAGGAATATTTCCAGTACCTTGTTTAATCATTATGTGTGTGTGTGTGTGTGTGTGTGTGTGTGTGTGTGTGTGTGTGTGTGTGTGTGTATATATATATATATATATATATATATATATATATACACAGACAGACAGACAGACAGACAGACAGATAGATAGATAGATAGATAGATAGATAGATAGATAGATAGATAGATAGATAGATAGATAGATAGATAGATAGATAGATAGATAGATAGATAGATAGATTTTAGCTTAGGTTTAGATAGTTATAACATTCTTGACTCAAATTTACACTTATACATTTTTCAAAACAATACATTGTAAGAATTTGGAGATTTTTTGTGAAAAAAAATAAATATTTTTTTTTTCTATGCATTCTTTGGGAATTGTCATTTTCAATCTGTTTCGAGAGACTTTGCAGGCATGTGCTGACCGTTTTTCAGCAGATTTTCTCTGCTCCAGTGGACGCACACCATACATTTCTCTTTGAAGCAACCTTTGTTGCTGCTTCTTACACAGGACTCCAGCTTTCTGTATATTTTATATCTCAAACCAGCCTTTGTGCTGGACCTTTGAAAGAGGAAAGTTCTCGAGAAGAAAGGCAAACTCTCATTAATGCATCGTAATGAAGTGAAACTTTTGTAGTCCTGCAGCAGGGCACTGCAGATCAAAGGGCAGACGTACCTTTCATGTCTTTTCATGAGATTATGATGAGGAAATAGTGTTCGGAGTAAATATGTGATCCGACAAATTCACCCAGTGAATCATACTCAAGCTGGAACACTTACTTTTTTTTTTTTTTTAATTACCAGCATACAGAGAAAGAGAATTTTAATCAACCAAACGATTCAAAATCCATTAGCTTTTGTGTTTTTAAGGCATAGTTCACCCCAAAATGAGAAATTGCTTTTAATTTACTCAGATGTAGGTGACCTTTTTTACTTAAGTTGAATATTAAAGAGGATTTTTAGCTGAAACTGTGGCCTGAAAAGCTTGATGATTCATTAAATGACTACCAGCACTCTGACAAGTAATAAAAACATATACAAGCAACACAAGATTGTTACCAGTGGCTCCTGATGATACACTTATGTCCTATGAAGCGAAACAAGTTTCATTTATGGTTTCATTGTGGGTTGTTGTTTGGTTGGATGATGATGATTATTATTATTATTTAAAAAATAATAATAATAATAATAATAACAATAATAACAATAATAATAATAATAATAATAATAATAATAACAATAATAACAATAATAATAATAATAATAATAATAATAATGATAATAATAATAATAATTATTATTATTATTATTATTATTATCATTATCATTATCATCATCATCATCATCATCATCATCATCATCATCATCATTATTATTATTTTTATTTTCTTTACATTTAAAGTGCAGACTACGGAGACCTGGAAGGGAAAAAAATTGAAGGAAGAAAAAAAATTGAAAGAAAAAATAAAACAGAGTGATAGGAAAAGATTTTTCAAGGTTTTTTTGTGTGTGTATTCCCTCGCAAAGATGTTTAGCGTTATCTTGGAAAACTGTTTCTCCACCAACTTCCTGTTCACTTCATTCATGTAAACCCTTACATTTTTGCAGAAATTCTCCTGTATTTTACCATTCTATCCCTCTATCATCCTGTCATTAAGTATTTTCCCATATTTCTGATATATTTTTAATCTTGAAAGCATCCTGAAATTAATTTTAAAATGTTTGCATTCACTTTCTTTACATTAAAGCTGTGCGTCGATCGTCGCCTTTCAAATGCTACCTCTGAACCTGTGAATGCATGTAAAAGCGCTGACTGACAGGCACGCTCCGCACAATAAACTTATCCCAGATCAGCTTCTGTACACTTTGTTGATTGAATGGTTAGTTGGTTTATTGGTTGTTCGGTTGATTGGCTGGCTGGCTGGCTGGTTGGTTGGCTGGTTGGTTAATTGAGTTAGTCGGTTGGATGGTTAGTTGGTTTGGTTGTTTGATTGGTTGGTTGGTTGTGTTGACTGGCTGAGTTGGTTGGTTGAATTTATAATTAGCTTGGGCAACACTTTAATTTGATGGTCTAGTTGAGTATTAGTTGATACTGCTCTTCCAAAAGACATTTAACTGACTATAAGAAACTTTGCAAGTACTTACATAGGGTTAACTTACACTAATCCTAATACTAACCCCAACCTAACAGTCCACTTATAATGTAATGCCAATTAGTTGGCATGTAGATACAATGTAACTTAAATAAAATAAAAAAAACAGACCATCAAAATAAAGTGTTAGGAACAGGGGCATTGTGAGCAAACAAGCTAAAATTTAGAGGGTCAAAATCCACAAAATAAATAATTTTGGTAGCTATGATTGCAATACTGGGGCTGGAAGAAGGCACATACTGTAAAAAAAAAAAAAAAATGTGACTACTTAAAAACTGTAAGGTAACATATTGAAGAGCTTTTTGAGTCAACTCAAAAAAAGCTGTGCAGCAAGTTGCCTTACAGTGCACACACTACTAAGTCTTCACTTCAAAGTAACTAAATATCACAAATAATAACTATCTGTGCAAATAATAACTAACTGCATCAAATAGAAAAAGACAATACTGTATATCAGCTTTTCCTGAAGATGAAAAGCATTTGATTAAATGTTTACCATCTTTGAAAAAAGTATTTTTTATGATGAGTACATATTTGATTTTCTGGCCCGAAAACATGAAAAGAACAAGAAAACCTCTTGACATAGTATTGCTTCAGCTGTCAGTGATTAGTTTAGCGCAAAATTCACGTCTGAAGATCAGACACAAGCTTATAGAAATACTTCAAAGGAAAACAAAACAAAAAAAAAACCAGATAGAAACAAACGTTAAAACTCATTAAACTCATCGTGTTAACACCACAACCTACCAGAGTATTGTTGCTGACCATGTCCATCCCTTTATGACCACAGTGTACCCATCTTCTGATGGCTACTTCCAGCAGGAGAATGCACCATTTCATAAAGTGTGAATCATCTCAGACTGGTTTCTTGTACATGACATGAAATGGCCTCCACACTCCCCAGATTTCAATCCAATAGAGCGCATTTGAGTTAAGGTGAAACGGGACATGCTATCATGTCAATATGGAGCAAAATCTCTAAGGAATATTTCCAGTACCTTGTTTAATCATTATGTGTGTGTGTGTGTGTGTGTGTGTGTGTGTGTGTGTGTGTGTGTGTGTGTGTGTATATATATGTATATATATATATATATATATATATATATATATATATATATATATATATATATATATATAGACAGACAGACAGACAGACAGACAGACAGACAGACAGACAGACAGACAGACAGACAGACAGACAGACAGACAGACAGACAGATAGATAGATAGATAGATAGATAGATAGATAGATAGATAGATAGATAGATAGATAGATAGATTTTAGCTTAGGTTTAGATAGTTATAACATTCTTGACTCAAATTTACACTTATACATTTTTCAAAACAATACATTGTAAGAATTTGGAGATTTTTTGTGAAAAAAATAATAAACATTTTTTTTTCTATGCATTCTTTGGGAGTTGTCATTTTCAATCTGTTTTGAGAGACTTTGCAGGCATGTGCTGATGACCATGTGCTGATCTTCAGACGTGAATTTTGCGCTAAACTAATCACTGACAGCTGAAGCAATACTATGTCAAGAGGTTTTCTTGTTCTTTTCATGTTTTCGGGCCAGAAAATCAAATATGTACTCATCATAAAAAATACTTTTTTCAAAGATGGTAAACATTTAATCAAATGCTTTTCATCTTCAGGAAAAGCTGAAGATCAGACACAAGCTTATAGAAATACTTCAAAGGAAAACAAAAAAAAAAAAAAACAGATAGA